AAAATGTAATATTTTTTTTACCAATTATTAAAACGTTTTAGATTCTGAGTGAAACGATGAGTGTATTGACTTTACAATGATGTGTGTTTTTTTTTTTGTGTCTGTGTATACGATAAGTAGTCGAAATAATGCTTCGATTTTCGACTTCAGTATCATGATCGATTGGAAAGTGAATATCGTTGGTGCATTGGGGAGGTCAAAATTTAAAATTCCCAGTACTTTTCAAAAGCGCCAAAAAAAACAAAAGAAAAATTAAGGAAAAACAGGAATTTTTACGCAAAATCGATTTTTTAGAAAATTGAATTTGGTTTTTGGTGTAACTTTAAAACAAATGACCGTAGATACATGATATTTTCACTGGTTGTTTATATTTTTATTTTCTATACACGATAACATTTTAAAAATATTTTGATTTATTTTGAACTGTTTAGGGACATTTTCATTTTTCATTTTTTTTTAGTTTTTTTTCTAGAAATATCAATAAAATTTTAATTGTTGGTTGCGAAAACTTGAAAATTTAATAGAAGGCTCCTAGTATATTGTTTCAAAGGCAGATGAAAAATATTAAAAATCGTTAGTCACAGTTTTTTTATAAGCATTTAAAGCAGTGCCGGATTAACGTATAGGCAGGGTAGGCACGTGCCTAGGGCTAGATAAAAGTTGCCATCAGAGGGGGCTATTTTTTTGGGGGGTACCAGTAGAAAGGTTTTTATTATTCATTGCTAATGTTGGACACAAGTCTAAAGATATGGCTGAAACTGTTTTAAATTTACTATCAGAATATGAAATACCAATAATTGAATATTGCCAAGGTCAAAGCTATGATAATGCGGCTAATATGTCTTGACAGTATACAGGTCTTCAGCCTCGAATCAAGAATATAAATCCAAAAGCAAAGTATATTCCATGTTCTGGGCATTCACTCAATCTAATTGGGACGTATGCAGCTGAAAGCTGTCTTTATGCAACACATTTTTTTGATTTGCTTCAAAAATTATTTAATTTTTTTTCATGTTCAACAAACCGTTGGTCGATTTTGGAAGAAAATATTGGTAAGGGTAAAGTTGTTAAAAATCTGAGTGTTACACGTTGGAGTGCACGAGCAGATGCTTGCAATGCTTTATATGCTTCTTATGCTGGTATAAAAAATGCATTGCTGTATATAATTCAAAATGCTGATGAAAAACCTATTTGCAAAGTTGAAGCTAAAGCTATGTACAATTTATTGAATACTTTAGAAGTTTGTATAATGATTTGCTTATGGAATTCAATTTCAAATAGGTTAGCTTATATTTACATTTTCATTATTATATATTTAATTGTATATTATTCTATTTTTCAACTTTTTGGAACTTGGTAACATTAACCATAATACTATGACTTATCAGTAATATAATTATTATATAATATAATTTTGTTTTTTTGTTTTTTGTTTTTTTTACAATGGGTTATAGAAAAAAATGTTTGCCTAGGGCTATGATCGGTCTTAATCCGGCACTGATTTAAAGTTCAAAAATTGACAAAATATGGAAAAATCACGAAAATTAGCAAATTATTTTGAGTTAAGACTTCGTAAAAATTTTTCTTTTTAAATCTAAGATGTGAACATGTAATAGAAGATTCCTTATAAGATTATCTACATTTATCAAAAAAAAAATGTCTATAGAAAGTCAAATTAAATTTTTATGAGCGTTTGAAATTCAAATTTTTACAACATTGGATATTCACTCGATTTCTCATGTAGCGATTTCCTTATTTTGTTATAATTCAAAAACAAATGACTGTAGATTCATGAAAATTTCACTGAATATTTATATTAGCATTTCTTATACACCATACAATTTTGAAAATATTTTGACTTTTTTTGAGCTGTTTACGGACATTTTCAGTTTTAAATTTTTCAAGTTTTTTAGTTTTTTTTTCTATGAATATCAATAAAGTTTTATCTGTTGGGCCAAAAAGTGTAAAAATACAAGGCTCCTGATATATTGTTACAATATCAGTTGAAAAATATTAAAAATACATAATCACAATTTGTTTTTATAAGCATTTAAACATCGAGTTTTGACAGAATTTTTCAAAATCTCGAAATTTATTAATCATCGTAATTAATAAGTTATAAAATGTTCAGTTTTTATAGCTAAGGATTGAAAATTTAAAACAAAATTCCACGTAAGTAGTTAATTCTCTTACCGAAAAATCTAAAAAATATACAATCACAGTTTATTTTTATAGTCATTTTATGTTCAACTTTGGACGAAATTACATATTAAAAAACCTAGTTATTTTGTTGTGATTATATAATATTATTCGTGGGTACCTACTTGAAACTTCTAAAGTGTACTATTATATATCTATGATAGTATCAGGGTTTGTTATTGATGTTGATTAGTGTTTAAAAATTTCATTAAATTTAAAAAAATGGAATATTTCAAAATATGTGAAATATTTCAGTATTTTATCATATTTTGTTTTATTTTTAAATAAGTTTTATATTTACATATAATTGTCATAAATTACCTTCATCACTATATGGTACCTGTATGTTTACCTAACCTTTGGTATTATACATTTAAATTGGTATTCAAAATTTTTAAATATTTTAATGTTTAAATGATACAAGTAGGTATACAATATTATACATGTATATTGTATACTTACTGAATTCTGACATTAGAATTTAGAACACTGAACATTGTGTTAAAAAAATAAATAAATTGTGTTTTTATTTGTGTAATAAAAATTTTCAATGTTTCACGTTTTTGTGAAATATTTTTTCAAAATGCCTAATGGATATTGTGATAATGTGATATGATTAATTTGGAATTTATTACAGGTCAATTTTTTTTTAATACCATATATATGTATATAATTTGTCTTAAACCTAGACTGACATACTGTCTTCGCTCAGAATCGTTTTTCTTATACAATGATATTGTATCATTGAATTCAAATTTAATAGCATCCATTATACAGTGACCCACTTGTAACCTACTGTACAGCAGAGCGACATCCACTTACCCACTTTTTTTTATTTATTAATTTTTATAATTAAAGATGGGAACAATTAATTCTTAATTAATTTTTAAAAATATTAATTAATAATAATTGCTTACCAAAATAATTAATAATATTATTTAATATACAATCATACTGTTATACCTATATTATATAAAGGATTATAATATGCATGCCTAATTGAAACTTTTAAGGGGAGTGTTCTGGTTGTAGGTAAAATGATACAACTATACAAGGGCCAAAATTATAGCCCCACCTGATGGAAATTTTCTGGCAACGTGCCAGATTATATACACCTTTACTAAAAAATACATAAGATGTTTATCATATGATACAACATATAAATATATATTATTTAAAACGATAAAAACTAAAAGGTACTAATATTCAAATTGGTAGGTATGTGCAAATAACGGTACCTGCGTTTTATTTTTATAATAATAATGTACAATACAAATAATCAATCAAATAATAATTTAAGGTATATTAATTTATTATATTATTTTATAATAATTTAAATGTTATGTGATATAATGATATTATATTGATATACGTTGTCGGGTTGTCGTTACTTTAAACGCATAAACATTAGAATATCATAGGCATTGGGCGGTCCTACGCGGGTGGAAGCTCTGTGCTGCACCTGACATTTAAATTTTCAACCGCCACATTTTTAAATAAAATAAAAATTATAAGTAGGAAAATTGAATGCAATTTATAGAATATAATATTATATATGTGTGTGTGTGTGTGTGTGTGTGTGTGTGTGTGTGTGTGTGTGAGTCATGACTCATGAGTGTGTTATAGGTATAGGAATGTATGTGTATTCTGTATTAAATGTGTACCTAATTAAATGTGCTGAGCCAGTCAAATCCTGGGACCACCTATGTAGAATATTGTATATTAGGTAAAAGGTATAGAAAATTATGCTATTCATTTTCAATATTTTTAAATTTTTTTTACATTAAATTATTATGAAAATCATTGTATTTAATATTTATATTTGAACACAGTAGGTACCCTAACCAGTAAGCTATGTTTTCGTTCAATAAATAAACGGACGGTAGTCGCCGTTCTGTAAAGGACAATTATCCCAGAGAATACTGAGAATTGATAAAATATACAGTTTGGCATTTTTATAACAGTGTAACCTAATACGTATAATAGTAAATAGGGAGACCAGCAAAAGTTTGAATTACAATACACGATAGTACGATATTATTAACATAGGAGAATAATGTGCTATATTTAGTATATTTAGTTTTAAGGTAAAATTAAGTTGAATTAATCCTCGCACTTCGCAAGCCAAAAATGTATTATTATTTCTTTAATATCTCTAGATATAGATAGAATGAGCTAGGAATATCTTATTGTAAAATTAATAAAAAAAAAAACAAAAAAATAGTTTCAATGTCGGGTTTTTCTGATCACTATAATTGTCCTGGTCGTTAACCGGGCGGCGGGCGATCACTATTCGCAGTCGTTATCATTGTTATGTTATTAATTAATGTACATGTAAATTGACATTTCGTGTGTACCACCAGTGGTAGAATAATAATCCTAATAAAAACCTAACCTATCAATAAATTATCAACTTTTGAACAAAACCGAAAATAAATGTGGTAAATTACCAAAATAGAAATATGACTATTATAAACATTTTAGGAATTAGGTTATACCGAATACCAATGACAGTCTATGAACCATTTTCATTTTTCATTGTTCATAGTTCATTAATTGTTCACCATATTGTGTCTATGCTGCTTCGGCAGTTCGGCACTTCGTTTAAAGCTTCTTCACGGTTTGATGGCATATATAATAGTTATAATAGTTGACATCTTCTATAGACTATAGTATTGTGTCTATTATAAATACGAGTTTTCGATTCATTTATTTTATAAATTTACTGTCGTAAATAAATTGAGTGTTGTGATATTTCCTTATTAATATTATTCAAAAGTTTAACTACACAAGTTTATACAATGAATCCAGAATTTTCCTACAAATACAATGGTGGAGAAAAAAAGGGTATTCGGTAAGTGTACATTATTATGTTTAGCTTTCAATACCTTCGTTTTTCTAATTACATATTGTAATAACTTGTATTAACTTGTACATAACAATAAATGTTTTATATTTATTTAGTAGTTTTTTTAATAGCTTAAAATAATAATAATGTATTCATGAGATATTTGTTTAACTAAAGAGGCTAATAATGACATATAAAAATAATTTTTTATTATATTATTTAATCTACATAATTTTGAATTCGTCAGTATTTTTAGTTTTAATTAGGTACCATTATGCCTACATATTATACAAAATATTTTTGTATTTATATTTTCAGATATTTGGTATGTCGTGAACAGTATTGTAAAGGAACAGCCAAAAGACTTGCTAATGGCATTATTGTTAACCAAATACCACATACCCATGAGCCTAATAATCTTGAAACCGAACGGCTGGAATCAAAAAAAGAGTTTAGGTCAAAATTGATTCAAAGAGCAGTTGAAGAAACTACAAAACTTCGAATCATCTACGATGAAGAATGTTTAAGGTATTATAATATTTTATGTTTAGAACTAAACAGTGGTGTATTGTTAAATACATTTATGGGTATACGCATCTAAAAGTAGTTGAATACCTATGTATACCTTAAAAAATGTTCTAGCTCATTTAATACATATCTTAACGCTTATAATACTATTTAATAATCTATTAATAACTAGCTGATCCCGTGCACTTCGTCGCCCGTTAAATGGATCAACTCAATACTACCTACTCAAACTTTGTTCAATTCATTAACGTGTATGGTGTTCAAAATTTATCTTATCTTTCCCGTTGCCCTGAATTAAAATTCTGAATCGCGGCAGTACATTATCAGGTAGGCAATCTACCTGCGGTAGATCGCGGACCCCGTGCTGTTTGTACGGAAGTGTATGATTTAACTCTAAAGTATCAAAGTTATACCAAGTTTATTTTGATGTAATACTGTGGATTAATATAATAAATTTGGTTGCTCGTAAAAAATCGCAACTCTTAAAAAAATTATGATTGTTGAACTCCTTTTGGGTGTAATTTTCTGCGGTAAGTGCAACTCCGCCACCCTGGTAAGCATTGTTCAATAATTCGATTTGATGCAAGCTTGTACCTGATCTGCCCGAATAACCACTGGCAACCAATAAATAAATGCTAATTTCTAATGTAGACTGTAACCAATGGCAACTATAAATAAATAAAAATAAAATTTCCAATTTCTATCGTGAATCTCAATGTCCCTGTTTCAGCACCTATTTAAAATGCGAATTTTGGCAAATCCTTTATTGGCGCACGTCTATATTATAATAGCTATCCGTATGCCAAATTTCAGCCAGATCCGTCCAATGGTTTGAGCTGTGCGTTGATAGCAGTCAATCAGCTTACTGTTTTTTATATACAGATATGGTTGCCATGGTAATATGGACACACACACACACACACACACACACACACACACACACACTGACATACATTCATTTTTATATATATAGATTGATATGAAATCTTGGTAACCTTAGTAACCATGGCAACCTTGGTAACCATGGTAACATGGTGTCGTATATGCACTTTCCAGTGATATACCTCTATCGACGCTTGAGCAACCAAAAGACCATAAATTAACCGGTTACAGTTTGGCTCTCTTAGACGTCGATATCGCTACCTTACATTTTAGACTTTCAATCTTCAACGACCATAAATTAACCGGTTTCAGATCAGATTGAAAGAATACAATTAACGTAGGACTACCTTCACCGTTTATACTTTAAATCGTCAACGACCATAAATTAATCGGTTTCAGATCGGATTTAAAGCGTACGTAGAATTGCGTGGCTACTCAAACAAAACAAATAATTTTCGGGTCGGAAACACTTTTATTAAAAATGTAAAACAAATATAAATAATTCAATAATTATTTAAAAACACTCAGTCTATACCACGACTGTCGTACCCGCGTTCTCGCTGAAACACCAGCGAGAACGGGACTCCCCGTGTCTGCGCGTCCGGTGGTGTTATATAGCAAAATAATTATTGCTGCCTCAGCACATCTTGCTTCATTGGCCTGACCTATGTTAATAATTTATAATAAAAATGTTCCCACCTATATTATATGTAATTATAGTGACGACTGTCTACATATACAACAGTCCCCGTTGTTTTTTTAAAAAAAATGCCCTCATTTTTTAATGATGTTTCTACATACAAATGTCTTATTACTACATTAAATACTAACTTACTTTAACACTAAATTACTGTCTCAGCTTATTCGCGTCGTTGACTATACAATTATGCTTAAATGTTAATTTAATCCTATTATTTTAATAATTAATTATTTAATGCGTGTTTGGAGAAAAAAAAAAAATATGAATACATATAACGTTATAAAAATTTATTGATTGGTTCTTTTGTGGAAAAATGTTTTCTTAGAGATTGTTCACAGTTTGAAGTATAATATTTTTATTTCGACAAATAGCAGTAAATGTTCGTTGTTCTTCTATGGGTTTTTATTCTTCGATTCTATGGTAGTTAATTCTCATTATCTTTTTGTATTTCATAAGGTCAGTATTTATTATCTTGCTTGTTTTAGTTTTTTTTTTTTGAATTTGATTTGTATATATTTTTTTTTATTCTTATTTTATTTCTATTTTTAAAATTTCTGTTTGGACTGCAGTTTCTTCTTCGTGTGTTCGTATGAAAAGGTATTTGCTTATAATTTTTATAATTATTGGTTTAATGCTTATTGTCTACTTTGAAAATATTATATTCGCACTTTGTCTCAGAAGATTGTTGCGGCTTGTTGTCTGTTGACTCGTTAATTTTTGATTATGCTGAAAATGCATTCTATTCTTTTGTTTTTTTATATCTTTTTTTTTACATGTTTTTAATATATTATTATTTTCCCTTAAATGTAATTATGATATTAATTCATATATATATATATATATATATACTATATAGGTAAAGAGTTAATTGAACTTATACATGACATATACTTAATTTATTTACTTTATTTATTACTATGTTTAATTACATATTAGTTAGTTATATTTATATTTTCCTAAAAGGGGCTTTATTATTATATTGTTTTGATAAATTTTAATTTTTACAATTACATTAATTTTGTTTAAGGTAATATTTAGAAAAATTATTCAATGGATTTGATAACATTTATAAGATTCTCGAAGCCCTCCTGGATTTTTATCAATGTTTTCGGTAACTTTCTTATGTCTTCGTTGTTGGTGTTTGTTCTCGGGTTTAATTTCTTGTTTATTTTTTATTAGGGAATAATCTATACATGATAGATTTGAGCCTGTGTCTATTATTGAATTTTGTTCGTTGACGTCTAGTTTTATTTGTATGGATAGCACTCTTTGTTTCCGGTCTGTGTCTAAATCTACGCTTGTATTTTGATTTTTGATTTTAATTTCGTCTTTGTTTTGAATTAGCTGGTTTTTGGTTTCTATGGCTTTCTCGTCTTCTTGTATGAGCCGATTCCGATATTCACTTATGTAGTTTCCGCATATTTCACAAAACATAACGTTTCCCCCTCACTCCAATACTCTTCTTTGTCATCATGGTCGTCTAGTACATCCTTGGTTGTGGACAAATATTCGCAGTCTTGGCAAAATTGTGAGTACCCTATTGTTGATTTGTCAGTTTTAAAATTGTTGCCGGTTTTTATTTTTTTCTATTGTGTTTGTGTGATAATTTTAAGCGATCGAAACATTCGTATAAGAAATGGTCTACATTTTTTTCTACAGTATTAAAATCGGGAAAAACTGTGTTTATTATTATTTTATTGAATTGAAGTGGTTTATATATTTTTGTGATAATTCCTGGTGTCCAATTATAATCTTTTTTGAATATCCCTATACTTTTCCTATTTGATTTCCAGTATATTATGGCATTTGTATGTTCGGAATCTTTGTGTATTAAATATAAATTTAAATTAAATTGGTCACAGATAAATGCTAGATCGTCATTTTTAAAATAGTAGCCAGATTTACAATTAGGAATGCCGAGCATATTTAATAATTCTACAGTCTTTCTATATACATATACCATGTTGTGTCAAGCATATTCGTAGTGCGTGGGCACCACAATCACCGTCTCCGGGTACGTCTTTCGTTTTTATGAATGAGCCGGCTATTAGTGCGATTTTGTTCTTTAAATTATCACTGATCGTGTTATTAAAATTTTTACCTATCGTAATATTAGTAGTTTGGGAATCATTGTTTTTATAATATTTATTTTCATTGTCGTTGCTCGGCAGTAGGCATATTGATATTTTTATTTGCGTGTTTTGAAAAATAAACTTAATCATGGTAGAAATAACGTTCCAATCCTTTTTGTCTTGTCCAGTGCAAATTTTGGGTAGTGCTAAGGTAGTAATATTATTTTCTATACAAAATTGCCTAGTATTAGTTAATGTGCTAAAAATGTTAGTGTATGCTGGTTTGTCGTAATATTTATTTTTTGTTATGAGGTATAGAATCCATTGTCTTCCGTTTTTCAAATAAGCAATTTCGGTCAGTTTTTTTTCTTGGTCTATTACATTTTGAACGTTGTTAAATTATTTCTAAATTGTAATGCGATCCCCTTCGATATGGTGAGGCATTGGCTTGTGCAATGGTCGATTGCGATATTATTTGGTAATGAAAAAAATATTTACCGTCTGTTCACTGTAATCGCATAGGAAATCGGTTCTATCGTTATTGCTGAGTAGGAATTTTTGGAATTCATTTAATGGGTTCAAATTACTTATTGTTACGATGTTTTCTATAGATTTTTCGTCATCGTCGTTTATTTCATTAGTTATTTATTTATTTGAATTTTGAGTTGCTAAAGAAGGTGGTATTTAAATCTGAATCAGTTTTTATTGGACTTATGATATCTTCGTATATGTGTTCTACTTTTGTAGATTCGTTAGGATCAAGTTTATTAAATTATTGTAACTATTACTAGGGGCTTGTACTGAATCGTTTTGATATAAATTACTACCAAGGTTTACAATTTTTTCTGCTTGGATTATTAATTTGTTTGCGTTTTCTTCTAAATTTTTGGATATATTATTTAAAAGGTCGTTATTAATTGTTTCTGGCCTATTTATATCGCTATTACTGGTTCCTACGCTTGAATCACTTAAATTGCTGTTTGAGTACTACTGTGATATCGATTCTGTCTTCTGTTGAATCCTTTTGAACTTTGAGTTTTTCTAGATCGCATAAGGTTTCCTTGATGTCGTCTAATTCTACGATCCCCTTATAGTATCTAGATAATCTAGCCCTCAGGTTTTCTATGGTTCCTACACTTTTTAATTGTTTAGATTTGCATAATTCAATAAGATCAGGTTTCTTTTTTAAATAAATATCGGTTAATTTAGTAATTTCTTTTCCCAAAGCTATAAGGTGTTCGTCATTCATATCATAATAAATTTTCTTTAATTAATTTATGCCTAACACTTAAATAATTAATTTTTGAATAGTTTAAACTTAAATTAAGATATTTTCGTGGTTATTTAATATTGAATAACAACTTTGAATTAAAAAAAAATCCTATTTAAATTTAAAAAAAACTAATCTACAATCCTAATATTAATACGTAAATATATCACTTAAATTAAAATATTTTGCGGTTATAATTATATCGAATAAAAATTTTGAAAAGTAAAAGAGAGAAATAGAGAGAAAAAAAAAATGAACTAATAAAAAAAAAATATCCTATTTAAATAGTTTCTTTAAAAAAAACCTAATCTACTTGTTTAGAACTTAAATTAAAATTTTGCGGTTATTTAAAATCGAAAAAAAAATTTTGAAAAATTATTGAATTAAAATTCTATTTAAATTGTTTTAAGAAAAATCTAATCTATAATCCTAATATAAGTATATTACAAAACGCCGCTCACCTTGGCGTATACTTGTAGACGCACGGTTGCAAAAAATTGCACCACGCGGCACAAAACTGCTGTCTTGTCGGTCAGACAAAAATCGAACGCGTATGTGTTACTCACTCGGTATACACACACACAAAATTGGGTTCTGGGTTTCTAGTGCACCCAAAACACATAAAAGTATTATTTTACTTTAACACTCTAACAGGTAAAATCTCACTACCCGAAACGTGCACAATTGTCGTACTTCACTTGTACAAAAAAAAAATGGTGTGCCAAGGGAATCTCTCCCAGACCACACGTAAAAACTGTTGTACTTCTCGTACATAAACACTTCAAAAAAATTAAAACTTGCCAAGGTTGAGGTACCAGGGCACAAATAAACTGATGTACTTCTCGTACATAAACACTTCGAAAAATTAAACGTGCCAAGGTTGAGGTACCAGGGCACAAAAAATCAAAAAAAAATGTTTCCGACCGTGGATAAGTAACCCCGTTGGGCGCCACTGTCGTATATGCACTTTCCAGTGATATACCTCTATCGACGCTTGAGCAACCAAAAGACCATAAATTAACCGGTTACAGTTTGGCTCTCTTAGACGTCGATATCGCTACCTTACATTTTAGACTTTCAATCTTCAACGACCATAAATTAACCGGTTTCAGATCAGATTGAAAGAATACAATTAACGTAGGACTACCTTCACCGTTTATACTTTAAATCGTCAACGACCATAAATTAATCGGTTTCAGATCGGATTTAAAGCGTACGTAGAATTGCGTGGCTACTCAAACAAAACAAATAATTTTCGGGTCGGAAACACTTTTATTAAAAATGTAAAACAAATATAAATAATTCAATAATTATTTAAAAACACTCAGTCTATACCACGACTGTCGTACCCGCGTTCTCGCTGAAACACCAGCGAGAACGGGACTCCCCGTGTCTGCGCGTCCGGTGGTGTTATATAGCAAAATAATTATTGCTGCCTCAGCACATCTTGCTTCATTGGCCTGACCTATGTTAATAATTTATAATAAAAATGTTCCCACCTATATTATATGTAATTATAGTGACGACTGTCTACATATACAACAATGGACACACAGACACACAGACACACTGACACACTGACATACATTCATTTTTATATATATAGATAATAACGCTTATAATAGTATTTAATAATCTTTTATTACAAACGCTTACTCTTCACAAACCAACATAATGTATGATTTATTGTCGTTTCAGATATGCTAGAGCTGCTGGAACATTATTGTTGGCCAACAGCTGAAACCTCTATGCGTAAAGCTCTTAAAAAAATTATTCCACCATTAGGTACCACCTACACTGGATGCATTAAAAGAGTACCTTGAACAACATTTGGATAGATATTAATGTTGTGGTCATTCATTCTATCAAGATTATACTATTGACAATCAAGGAAAGTATACAGTGATATTTGGTTGTATTGATCTTATCCGTAAAGTGGTTAATCAAGGCGGTGAAGAAGTGCATGCTGATGCAACTTTTAAGGTTGTACCATCTCATGATAATGCATATCATCATTCAAAACCATGTGAGTTTTATCATAATTTAGTTACCTACTGATATCTTTATATTAAAAAAAACACTAAAAGATGTAAGATCTTGAAATTCAAAAATTCAATAAGATCAAAATAACTTACCTACCCAAAATATTAACATTTTAAGAATACTAAAATGTTATCATTTTTATTTAACAGTCTATACCAGTGAGATATGTATTGATGGAATCAAAAACTGAGACAGCATACACTCAAGTTTTGATGAAGTGTAAAGTTCTATTTCCAGAGATTAAGCCAATATGTATAATGACTGACTTTGAAATTGCATTACAGAATGCTTTTAAAATTGTATATCCAGATGCAATTCAACATGCATGTTTTTTTCACTATGTCCAGGTATTTGTTTGTTAATTTTTATTTAAAATGAACTGGTACTTAACATTTTATTTAGTCCAATTAATCAATTAGTTATCACCCTTATGATTAACTTAAATATTTTGTATGTTTAATAGTGTTTGGTTAAAAATATTAGGAGTCAAGGATTAATACCCTATGTTAAAAACAACGAAATGGCTCAAATATGCATTAAAATGATAGCTGCTTTAGCTTTATTACCATCTAACAAAATAGAAGAAGGTTTCCAAATAATTCGACGATACAGCAGGGACAGCAATATAAATCTGACTTCCTTTTTTACTTATTTCTCTAAGTAAGTTGAAAAATATTTACAAATTAAATACCTACTTTGGTGACCGTTCTGTAGTCATTAGCATAACTCATAGTCTGTAGTCATTACTAAAATTCCAAACAAATTAATAGTAGTTAGTATATTAACAGTTATTTTTGAATTAATTTATTATAAACAAATTAAGAAAAAATTATTTTTGTTTTCTAATAATAATAATAAATTATTCAACACAGGTAGAATACAAAAAAAAAAAAAAAACATAAGTAATTACATGAACTGAGCTGATTACCCCTCTCTTTAAGCATGCTTGTATTGAGAGGGAGAGACTTCAGATATTAGTTATACAAATAATATAATATTAACAAGATTTTTTTAAATTTATGAAAGTGAAAAATTATTACAAGAGTAAACTAAAAATAAATAAATTAAAACAGAAGAGTCATAATTAATTGTTTTATACCTAGTGGTTGGGTAAGCCGATCCCCATAAAACTATACCGTAGGATAAGACAGACTGCACCAAAGCAAAATAAAATCTAAGCAAAGAAAATAGATCTAGAATAACATTTAATTCTTTAAATAATATAAAGAAAAGCTTTCTTTATTTTTTTTGTATTTAAATTGATTTGTATTTATTTTATATCCTCATCAAAGTAAATACCTACCTAGATATTTAACATTGTTTATACGAGTTAATTTAACACAATTCAATTTCTATTCAATAAATTATATGAACAAAGTTATTGATACTTCACCAGTTTATATTTTTTTTTTGTATAGGTACATATACAACACCTATGTACCGATTTAAATTGATTAAATTTACACTTAACATTATAATATTATGGTTTCAAGTTATTCGATACAGACAAGAGGACCAGAAGTGTTTTCGGTTCACGGTATTCCTCGAAGAACCAGTAATAATATTGAGTCATTCCATAGCCAGCTTAAAGAAAAATTCCAAACTGTTCATCCTAATCTATGGACATTTTTAGGTGATTGATTTAAATTTAATTGGATGTACTAGATTTATTACAATTTATATTATTAATCAATTATGTTTTTTTTGTCTTTGTTATTATAAAATTAGAACATCTAAACAATTTAAGTAAAAAAAACCATATTATTATTCAACAACTGGAAAGAGGTCAGAGAGTTACACGTCCCATAAAAATGAAGTATCTGGCAAACTCTGAGCGAATTATGACTGCTACAAGACAGCTAACTCTTGGTATTATTACTGTTAAGGAGTTTCTTTTGCAATGCTCACATAGCACAGAAACTTATCTTAGACAAGAAATTAATTGGCATAATAATATCGAACAAGGTATAGTAACCATAATAGTATAGTAGGTATATAGTAAAGTTTTTTTTGTGAAAATGTTACTCATGTGATTTTAATTTAATCTCTATAGAATATAACATTCCTTGTAATTCTTTCACTGACTTCACTGATTTATTTTCATTGCAATGTAAAATAAATATTGTTTGATGCAACTAGGTGGCATGTATCTCTGTCATCACTCAGCCTAATTATGTCACTGTATAGTACTTTTTATATATTACTACTTTTATTAACATATATTTATGCTCAATATTTTATTAGATGAAAACATGCAAGCTAGTGACCAAGAAGATGAAAACATGCAGGCCAATGATCTTCAAGATGATGAAAACATGCAGGCCAATGTTCATCAAGATGATGAAAACCAACAGGACAATGATAATAATGAATCAGGTAATGGTATTTTAATATAAATTTACATTTTATATACCTAAAACAGATATAGAATAAACATTAAGATATATCTTACTTATATACATATTTTTTTTTCAAAAAAATTACTATAGATGTGATAGTTTATGACCAAATCGAACCTCTACAACACGTGATCAATGTAATTGAGAACGACAGTAATTCTGATGACAGTGTTTATTTTCCATTTTTAAGACCTGGAGTAAGGAGAATAGAAAGAAATGATTCTGATGAATCTGTGGCGAATGACGGTAACATATAATATATAATATGTAATAATACCTAGTTAGTAATTTATTATGGACCTTCCATAACATTAATTATTTGTTACTTAACTTATGTAATCCAACTTTACTTTTTAGCTTGTTTATGCCAGGTGGCTCATATTGAAAATTATAACTATTTTTCAGGTATAAATCAACCTCTGAATAATGAAAATGGATCTCCTTCACATCAAGAAATTCACTGTAAGTTGATTTACTGTGCTTTTGATTTTGATTTTTTTTATCATGATGAGCATACTTTAATTTAACCTAATTTGTCTTATTTTTAACCATTAATAACATTAAACAACTATCTAGCCTTTAAAAAGGATATGTCCTACTTCATACAACTTCCTTCGCCCTAAGTTTAACCACAGAATTGTAATTGTGAAAAAAAATGTTGGCAAGTTAACAATTTTTTTTTTCTTATATTTTTTTAATACATCTAAGTACCAACTAGCTATCAAAAAACCTACTTGTCTAAAATAAATCCCGAAATTCTGAACTCATACTTGACTCCCTACTACCCGAAAAAAGTACCTATACTAAAAACCTCATTCAAAATTTTCATTATTCTTCGGACAGAAATTAACTTAATTTAGATACCTACTTTTGAATAAAATTCACTTAAGTTAATACGTTAATCTGAAAAAAAGTAACTTTAATAAAGTTAAAAGTTAATTTGAAAAAAATAGTAACGAGTTAAGTAACTTAATTTTATCTTTTAACTCGTTAATACCCCCAGCCTTGTGTGAAAGTACAGAATACCTTTGTTGCTATGATATTATGAAATTTCAAGTCATGGGAAAACAAATGTTGTTATTGGTCCTATTAATCTATAATTATATTTATAATAAATGGTTACCTAGTCTGAGTTTCTTGATAATGTACAACAGTTAGTTGGAGACTATTTCAAAAATTAAATATGATTTCTTCTTTTTTTAATCTGCATATTTTTAGTAAATATAAATGCATAATTCTGAACTTTTCAAGACAAATTTCAATGTATATTTTGCTAGTTTTTAGTGCAAAAGTTGATGCTTATTTAGGAATTTTTTAGGGCATGAACTTACGACCCCGGGTCATAATAATATTAATATTGATATTAATTATAGGGAACGAGGAAGATTTCATTATACCTGAAGAGTTAGATCCAGACATTATTTATATGATGGAAATTAAAGAAAATAGGAGAATTTGGAAATGCAAAATTTACCTTACGTCCAAGTCCAAGTACCTGAAGTTCTTCCTGCTGTTGAAACAGAAAACCAAGCAAATATGTGTGTTGCTTGTCTTGATGCGGAAAGTACTCACGCCTTGTCTCCATGTGGACATAAATCTTTATGTTTAATGTGTTTAGAATCATTAGTTTCAGAACGCTGTCCAATATGTAACAGTATATTCACTTCAAATTTACGCATTTGGTAGTGTAAATATTATTTTTCATAAAATAATGTTATTTGTTGATAATTATTATTATTATGTACACAAGTAGTACAAATATTAAAAGATATTTTGTAAAAATAATGATTATTGCATATTTGTTTCTGAGTTTGAGCTTGAAGCGTTTAATGTATCATAGTTATCCTCACTATGGACCCTATTTGTCTGTACCAATATAATCCTGTGAAAGCATAGTAAAAGCATAGCTTTACTACAAAGGTAATATATTTATTTATTCAGTGGCCGTCGGCTAGGACCGACTAAGGGCCCGGGATGTGCTCTATGTAACTTTTTTAGGTCACTTGCTCCAGTTCGCCACAACTATTATTTAAATAATATTTTATTTTATCTTGTGTTTGAAAATACTGATTTAGGTGTACTGTTTGACTCAACTTTTAATAGGCATTATAAAATATTTCAAAAAAATCATCATCCATTCTTGGATTTATTACTAGGACATGTAAGGATTTTTCAAATCTCATTTCATTAAAAACTTTATATTTCTCTTCGGTACGTTCTACTCTTGAATATAATTCTATTATCTGGTAACCTTCTGCAAATATTCATAATACAATGCAATCCAAAATCGTTTCTTTCGTTTTATATCCTACAAATTTAGTATTCCACAGCAACCACATTCACCATATAAGCTGTTAATAGACACACTAAAATATATGAGTAATCTTGTCCGAAAAAACATACTTGATTTTAAATAATCGTCTCGAAGATCTCATGCTCATATCATGTGAAACGGATATAGTTGTTAACACAGAAAAAGTAATTGACAATTTTGCGAGTAGTTCGCCAGCTTTAACTGAAACCTTAACTTTTAATTATTATAATATATTGAAAAATGTAGCTACCGTTGTAAAATAATAAATAAAAAATATAATAATAAACATTTGTAATTATTAAACTTATTATAATAAATTATCAGATAGAAGAAGTACGAATATGAATAGTTTTTTTTTATTATAGGGGGTGGTTGGCAATGCCCCCCGCCGCGATAATGTTGTGAATGAAACGGGGTAGTGGTCTTGTAACATTTTTGAGTGTTGACCAGACTATGAAAAATGTCAGTCGGTGCCACTTACCTACGGGCTACGAAACATAAAAATAAAAAAAAACAATCTATGTTAAAAGTTAAAAATATATAGGTAGGTACAGCCCCTAGTTATTGAATACAATTTAACTTACTTTTATATTTATCATATATTCAAATAATAATAAATTAGCCATGATATTTATATTATAATTTTCAAACATTTAATAATAATATTTTGTTGTATATTATATACCTATTATCCCGGAAATAAAATATTACGTTTCCTAATAATATTTTGACGATAATGTAAATATTAATAATTTTAATTATTATTAGGAGTCGTTACTCGTTTTCACAAGTTTTACACATAGATACAATATTTAAAAATTATAAAATATTTCGAATGATCGATACGTCAAATAATACAAATAGTTAATGAATGTAGCTGGTACCAAATCTTTTAAATGAACCATTAACATAATGTTGTAACAAATCTTGATATGAAACAAAATAATAATATTTATAATGCTTGGAAATTATTCATTAGGTACCTAAATATTATTTTTTTTAGTGATAAGTAGGTACTAGGTACCTATATTATAAGTATATATTTGTAATCAAAATATCAAATATTAATGTAGTAATTCCACTAATTAGCTTTTAAAAAATATTTGATCTTGATACGTAATATTCGTTGTCAGTAATATTGTAGTCTGATTGTTATTTTTTCTAGGGTCGGGGATGTATTTCAGTGATGGTTCGTCGGGGGTTTTCTTAATTCTGTTGCAAATCATGAAACTAGACTATTGAATCATCCTCTTGTAGAATTCTCAAATATGTATAGACTATAGAGTACTGAGCATGACTAAATAGATCTATTTAGTCATTGTACTGAGTACCTATTGAGTTTGTAGGGTAAGTGAGTTATAGTGATCCAAGTTTTCGCGTACATACGGTATATAATAATATGAAAACAATGGTTTCAATAAAAATATTTTTATATAAAATATACCTTTTGATTTGTAATTAAATATTTTTGTGTTGACAGTTGACACCCGGCACACCACGTACCTCTATTTACGTAAGGGTGCTGAATTTATATTAGCCCCGTGCGTCAAATTTCTGAGATATAGCACTGGGTAAACAGCTAATGATAATTTTATCATATTTAGAATAGACAATAATATAAAATAATTATAAAGTTTAAATAAAAATTAAATAATTACATTTAAAAAAAAAATTGAAATAGAGTTGAATTTTTAAAGATTTATTTATATTTTAGGAAACAATTGAATAATATTTTTATGTTTTTTTTGGTGGTGGGGCTATTACAAATTGCGCTTATGCCCCCCCCCACCAATGGGTGCCCATGTCTACCTATCTATTTTTTAATGGTTTTATTTGGCAATTTGTACATAAAATGCCTATTTCTAGCCCCTTAACTATTTTATTCCTGTAAAGTATTTTTCCCATGTTATATTTTCCTATGAGATATACTTTCCTGTATAATATTTTCCTGTGTAATAATTTCCTGGGTTTTAAATTCTTCGTTATTATTTGTCCGAAATATTAATTCCCTGTTAAATATTATTCTTGGGTAATATTTTCCTATTAAATATATTCCTAAGTATAATATTCCTGTATAATACTTTCCTGGATAATGTTTTCCTAATTTTATTTTTCTTGTGTTAAACTTTCCCGATAGCACTATGTCTATGTAATGTTTTCCTAATTTTTTTTTTCCTATGATATACTTTCCCGATTACACTATTCCAATTTAATATTTTCCCCAACAATGCTTTCCTGGGATAAAAATATTCCTAGTAAATATTTTCCTGAATATTATTCTTCCTCAGCAATAATTTCCCGTGTTGTGTGCGCCCCCTTAAACCAGAAAATGTTCAACTACCATACGATTCCTCAAGAAATGTCTTTGTGTCTGTTGATGCACCTCATTTTTAAAAACCAATTCAAAGTCGCTTGCACTAAAAAAAAAACAACTACTGATGAGTATGGCAATGGTTATCCACTATTTTATAACTGTAAATAATTATAAATAAAATACCTAAAAGCTTGTATTGATATTGTATACTCTTATTACTTTTATTGTTTATTTTAATAATCTATACAATATATTAGGTATGTTGGTATGCAGATTGTTGAAATTTGAACAACAATTAACACACTTAAACAGAATTTAAATGCAAATCTCCATTACGAGTCGTATATAAAAGTAGGGCACTAAAGATACAGGTATGCTACTCCGCCATTTTGAGACTAATAATCTTATGTGAATATGGATTTCTCCCCTTTAATTTTGTCATTTTATCATTGCTAAATGAGTCGCAAAATGGTGGCATAGCATACCCATAATAATATGTAGGGCCTTAATAAAAAGTTGCCGTATAAAAGGGTAGGTAGCGTACTCTGGTGTTAAACTTCTGAACTGCCAAACTGTGTGATTTTGTTGCGTCAATATTGTACCATTGAAAGATACGAGAGCGATGTCACCTTATCTTCACTACATCGTGCTTTAACCTTATAATTCTTGATGATGCATTCTGCTTTCGGAGTCTATAAATGTCTATTGTGAATAAATTACGGAATTAGTCCATTGCTCTAAAGTCGCCTTACTGTGAATACAAATGTTTTTCTTCATTGAAATCTTTATGACCACAAACATTATAGTTGTATAATGGGTAAATTGATGTTTTAATAATAACTGTGAACAATTAAACTCTAAGGCAGTAAGTATCTACTATTTGTGCGGTCCTGTCCACAAAGATACCCAAGGCCAGGGTGTGTCGCCATTGAAATCTGACACGTTGGACAAAGTATAAAATATTTTTTCACCTCGAGAATCGAAATTCAAGAAAACTGAGCCACTTCACTAGTAAGTATCCACAGATACAGTTATTGTATCTTATTGTTAATCATTGGTTTTGCATGATTGTTTTGATCTATCTAATAAATAACTTGGATTCGTGATCCGGAATAACTTCTACTGGTACCACAATTTAAATTTGGTCTCGAAATAAATAATGAAATTTGACAATTCAGACAATATTAGTATTTTATTACAAAAGACCAAAACATGTTTTAATTGTTTTATTTGAATTCAATGTATTTTTACTAAAACTTAAAAAAAAGTTTTAGGTATCTCAAAGAATAATGGGGAATGTTGAAATTTAACTAAGTAAAATTATATTTTTATTATTATGTTTGTAGTGTCACTAATAGCTTCTTCCGTCAAACTTATCGTATTCTTTTTCCTCTGCTTGCACATTTTTATTGTATTAAATTGATAATGTTTGTTTATTACTTTCAAAATAAAAAAATCAGGTGTAATGTATAGGCTGTACGAATCTAGGTCAAAATATCCAATTTTAAAAATGTAGAAAAACTTTTCTATAAATAAAATGTTAAAACTTAAAACAATACAATTAAGTAATTTTTAGACCATACTAAATTTTTAATAAAAACTAGATCAAATATTAACTTATAATATAAAAATATATACTCAGATTTTGTGAGTTGGTTTCCTTCTTGTAGTACAAAAAGTGAACTAGAAGCTTTTAGCTCATGCCAATAGAAAAGGATTTTCTATACAACATATTATATAACGATGAAATTATTAAAATACTCAAGTCTAAAAGCATACTATTATTGAATAAGATTTCTAGTTAAAAATAAAATTATTGTAACATTAATAATTCAAATAATTATTCACTTGTATTGTGTTATATAGCTATATAGGCACTTAGACTGTTAGTATAATAATACGATAGTAATGCAAAATTTAATATATTTCGGTAAATTAGTAAGTGCGCAGGTATTTTTGTATTTTTCCGGACAGATTTCTCTCCTCAACTATCCGCACCTGAGTTGAACTTTTGGCTTGTGTGGAAAGCTATGACAAAAAAATACAATAATAACAATATATTATAATATGTTAATTTACTATAACGGTGAGTGTTTGTGAAGTATATTTTGTGATATTATTGCTATTAAAGCAATTAATTTACTATTGTTTATTATTAATACAGAGGTTCAGTTTATTTTGTTGCGAAATAAAATGTTTTCTTATAACCAGCGTGATTGAATTATTTCAATTAATACTATTTAAGTATAATGATTATTGACATTTAAAAATGTTTGTGTTTATTTATAAAAAATGTTTTTCTACATTTAAAAATTTGGATATTTTTGTTTGGATATTTCAACCAATTACAAGGTTGTACGTTTGTAAATTGGAAATAAATTTAAAAAAATGTTCTTTCAAAAACGTTGATACTGATATCCATGAATTGTTTATATACATAAGCTAATATTTCATATACTTTTAGTATAATGTATATTATTGCATATTTTAATTATAATTTACTTTACCAACCCTGATCCCATTTTTATTATTTGTAAACATATTGTTTTTATATAAATTTATGAATCTATTATATTTACTGAATTCTTATTCAATCAGTTAATAAGTCTTTTACCTAGTATATGAGTATTCGTACTTGAATAATTTTTCCAGTTTTGAATATTTATTTTATATATTGTACATCAATAAATATTTTTGTACATTTTAAATACCTACTAACTATTTTATTGTATTGAACTCTTTCCATTAAGTAGATACATTATTTCTGACTGGCAGTTATAAATATTTAGAACTAAGTATATCATATTACAAAAAAACAATTATTGCGAAATCCAAAATCTTATCTTTTTTAAATAATAAATAATATGGTATTGAAGTAGTTAAGAAGGCAAGTAGGTATTGAAAATTTAAAACAAGGTTTCATTTAAGTAATTGGAAAAAAACAAAGAATATACAAACACAGATATTTTTATATATATTTACCTACTTCCAATTTGGTCAAAATTAGATATTTAAACAAAGAATTACGATTTTAGTTATTTTGTCGTAATTTAAAAATATTATTCGAGAGTACCTACTTGAAACTTTTAATGTATAATATTATATTTTATAGATACAATGACATTGACAAATACAATGTTTTCGGCCAAACTTAATTCAACCTACCTACTGTATTACTAATATTAAAATATATTACTTTAATAGACATAATATCGAAAAATATATTTAGTAATATAGGCGAGTAGCCCATATTCACTCAGAATCAATTTCGTGTACATTGAATTTATATAATTGAATTAAAATTTAAAATATCCTTTACAGTGACCCACACGACACCTAATGTACAGCAGAGTTGAACCAATTTTCCCACATTCTTTTTCTGTCTGTCATCAACTCTTCACCTTAAGTAAAACAACTTCGATTTTCTATTTTAACATGTTTTCTGATAGGAAAATGAGTATAGTTTGTACTTTGGTTAAAAACGGAAATTTTTAATTAAATATTCTGGTGTATTTAGAATAAATTTATCACACACATATGTCATTAACCTTTTGGTCCAAAAATTCTACTGTTAGCTATTTACCAACTTGGGCCTATAAAGATGGAAAGCATGTATCTAACAGTAAAATGTGTAGACCGTAATCATAATTTATAAACGCTCAGAACTTCTAATCAAATTTTCGTCAAATTTCGGTTTTTTGTTTTTTTATAAATGTTAAGTTAATTATTTTAAATGTATTGTACATTTTAAATTAGAAAGGTGTACATAATAAAACATTGCATTATAAAAACAATTTTATATGTTAATTTTTAAAGCCATTATTGCGATAAAATACATTTTTTATGAACATGTTTAGTCATTTTTTGACGACTTTTAGATCATTTAAATCCGGGCATTAGTTATAGCAACTTATGAGTACCTAACCTTGTATTACATTTTTAAGCATTTTGATCGAGAACAATAATTTTATCAACATAAGTCAATGAAAACTAAAATCTAAATAAAAAATATTTTTATGAAAAACTGGTCCATAAAATGCTAAAATGTTATCTTGTCTAAGAAATGTTAGTATCTATATTATTTGTGAATAATTCAAGTCCCCCTACAGTCATTCAATTTTGAATTACAGTACCGGTAAATCAAAACATGTTTTGTCAAAAACTGGTGTTAAGTAAATACACTAATTTTTCTAATGCAGCTGCATATTTGCCTTCCCCATGAGTACACCTATGATTGCTAAGGATAATTTAAAATCTATAAGCATGGCTGGGTGTTATCGATTAAAAAATTTAAAGTTAAGCTACATAACGAGTTACTTTTGTTTTAGAAGCAATTTCTATCTTAGATAATAAGTTAAATTTTTTCTCATGTTATGAAATAAATTAAGTAAGTTAATTAATTGTATTATCAATAACGTTAAGTTAATTTTTTTCTTGAAACCGCAGATTTAAAATATTATATTCTATTTTGTGAAAATTAATTATATATAAAAAAATAACAATAATCTGAAATATCAAATTGTATAAGTATTCCAAAATAATTTACCGAATAATTTATAATAATGGTTATAATTTGCATATTTCCAGAATATTATAATTTATTTATCATAAAATATTATATCAAATATTAAAATTAGAGTGAATTGACCAATTTTTAAATTTGATGATAGGAACATTATTTGTGTTTATATGTGGGTTCTTTACATTAACTCAGTTCTCAAGTGAGTTATGAGCATTTTTAATTTACACTATATTATACACACATAACTTGTTAAAAAATTTTATCGTAAAAAAACCCACATACAAATACATATAATGTTATTAACATCAAGTTTCATCTCATTCTAATTTTTAAACTAACGTACCCAAACCTGATCTGCTGAGCATCAATATTTGATATGTTATGCACTTGTAAGACGGAGACAGCAAATTGCTGTGTAGGATGCTCTTAACTTAACTTAACGAGTTAAAAAAGTAGTTAACTTAAACAGTCTTTGCTGTAAGCATGTGTATTTAAGAGCCATCAATTTATTTTGTATCAAAAGAGCCTACAAAATTATAAACCTTGGGTTTTGTCAATACCTACATTTTTGTTCAGATTAATGTGGTACAAACGGTGCGTCTAACTATTAAAACGGAAAATAAAATATTTTATTATTTTATAAATTATATATTACCTATATTATTTTCTTTTAATTTGACCAAAATGTTTTGGTTATATGTCCTAAAATAGTGAGCATCCCGTGCTTGTACTGAACTAGCTACTTTAAATATATTCATCATAATTATTGATAAGGGCTACTACAATGTTATGACATACCTATATATTAATATGTTTTCAAGAATACAAAATAAAAATATGTGTTGTATTAATTATAACTTTATGTTTGTACCAAATAATCTTTAAACATAATTTTAATGAGTATTTTTGTTTACAGATAAATTTTCAGATATTTTTTAAAGACAAAAATAAGGAATAATAATAATAAATATGGATAATAAGCATATTGGTAATACAACTGAAGCTAGCATGGAAGGACTATTAAATAACTGTTCTCAGCTAAATGTATTCCATGCAACAAATAATTCTTATTTTACTGAAAAAAATTTTGAAGATTTTGTAAAATTTACCAATATAGAAAATTATTCACTTTATCATGATCAATCAAGTGATTCAGAATATTCTGCCAGTATACCTAGTATGTATATTGATAGTAAAAATGTTAAACAAGAAGATGTAAAATGTGAATTAGCCTTTGCATCTTATGAAAAGGATGTCAATGTTTCTGAATCAAATTTGCAGGTACCTAACCCTAATCTATTTTATTGTATTTAAATATAACATTTTTTAGTTAATTTTATTTGTTATACCTACCTATATCAACATTTTGAACACTTTATTATTTACTGAATAATTGTTGTTTTATTTACATAGGAATTTACAAATACAAAATTAGTTGAAGGTAAGTGTTATTTATATTTTATAAAATTGTTCTTTTCTTCTACAAACATTTTAATCTCTTAGCAGCACTAAACTTTTCCACCTATCCCTGTTTAGGGAGTTCTCCATAATGACATACTGACCCATTAATATCTCTTAATATTCTCCTTCACCCTATCCAATTGCCGTTATTGATGCCTTCCCTTTCCAAATACATTTTTTATCATAACATTTATGACTTATGTCAGCCACACTTGTCTGACCTACTTTTGCAATTTGGCATATAATAAAGCATTATTTTTTGTTGTAATGTCCCAGGTGCCGGGTTCAAGGTGTAATCCACAAATTACCACCCGATACTTTTCTATATAAAGTTGATATCTGGTAGAGCTCTCATAGTGCCTATTCGGTGTGCAACACGCAACTAATATATAGAACATCAAAACATTTTAAGTCCTTTAGATAAATATTTTTTGTAATAAAATAACTAAAATTGTTATTTGTTGTTTGAATCTTTGGGGTAATATGTATAAATACAATAAAAATTGAGCTTTACATTTTCTATATTTTGAATATCACTAAGACCTTGACAAATTACAAATTTAATCCAATTTGATACCAGAACATCTTGAATACCTGAATATTTAAAATTAAATCATTTTTTAGTTAATTAGTATTTAGTTTAGCATTTTTTAGTATTGTTGACTACAAAAAAATATGTCATCGTAAAATAAATAAGTTCCTTGCTTTGCTTAGAATTTAAATAGCGCATGAATACTAATAAATCTACATTATTATTTTTATTTATATTATCTGTTATGGAAGTTTATTTATGAGTTTTTCTATTTTTATCTAGATAAAATTGTAAGTATGCAGACAAGTTTTTCGTCAACTAAATTTCCAATAATGTGAGTACCTTTAAATTTAATAAAATTGTTGACTTATAATGAGGGCTAGGATTTGTATGCAATATAAATTGTAAAATATGCATTTTAATTTTTTAAAAATACACTTAAAAATAGTTACAAAAAAAAAATGTATTTATTGAAATACATCAGTTTTTGGCTGATTGTTTTAATTTTTAGTAATAAAATAAATAATTCATGTTCAACAGTGGAAATATGTGGCTACATGATACGACCATATTTTTTTCTTTTACAATTCTACAACAAATTATCGTAATTTGGCACTTACATTTTTAACATTTGGCATTTTTAAAATAAAAATTCCAATCATATTACTAACACTGAAAAACAGTGTAATAATTGGTGACAGACAATATAGGACAGCTGAAAAGTTTGTACCACATTAGATTAGAAAAATTAACAAGATTAGAATTATGTGTAATACACTAATACGCGACAAATTATAACTTATCTAGGATTTTATATCGATACCTAAATACCTTTTATTAATTGTGATTATTTTTCTACGTCAAACTATTCACTCTTTAACCACATATTGTACCATATTATTTTATTTATAAAAATAAAATGTATTTGTGACAAAAATACCAAGTTATATACTTTGATCAGTTTAAATATTACCGGCTTGAATACAATAAATACGATCATACTAAATTTGCAAAAATATGCATTAAGATCAATATAATATGCAAAAACATGCAAAATAAAAATAGTAATATTTTCATCAGAATAATATAAATTGTGACATTACTCACTAAAACTCCATTTGGAAGTAACAAAAAAAAACTTGCTGTTGCATACAAACTTAGTCCTGCAATTCTAATTTATGTGTTGGGAGTTACAGATTATACATGCAAAATAACTATAGTTGTGATAATCTGTTAATTCCTAATATTTTCATGGTATTTACAATTTTCAGGAAATTATTAAAACCAAAATCAAGACCACATATTTGCCTTGAATGCTGTTTTAAGTGTAATAACGTTTTTCGTGTACTTGACAGTCCTTCACATATAATTCGGATACGAAGTATTGACAAGAAAAAAGAATTTTTCAAAAGTAAGCGTTTAGGATATTTTAAATTAAATATATATAGTAATATGTACCATCTTATTTCACAATATTTGATCTAAAATTAGTTTTTCTGAACACATACAATGTCTGTTTCATTTTCTGCCGTACATTATTCTTAACAGTTGTGATACAATTATAATACAATTAAATGTAAATTTATCGTAAAAACAGACAATAGCAGCTAACAGGCGCAATGTAGTATTGGTGTTGGGGGGGGGGGGGCTGTGCTTTTGGATATTTTCATAATATTTACTGTTAATAGTATAAATGTTAGTTGACAAATAGACAAATGCAATTCCAAACATTTTAAAGAAACATTAAATGAATTTCCATAACTCAATAAATAACTATACGTTTCATAACATTAATATTAAATCACTTATTAAATTTATACTTTCGTATTTTATCATACTTATTCAAATTTAAGTATTTTTAAGTCCATGGACATTTAAATGGTAAATTATAAATTATTAATATAGAAAAATGTAGTAATTCAATGGTTCAATTAAGTTTAATGTACTCATCACAGGCCACTAAATCATGTTTAAGGGACCTTCAACTCACTATTGATTAAGCTAATGTTTAGTGATTATTCATGCAACCCGGCAGAATGGTACATAAATAATAGTATATCACAAATTGTTGAGATACACTGCCACTAAACTCATTTTAACTATAATTTATAGTTTAAATGTTAATAAATCGGAAAAGTTTTTTATAATGGTTAAATTTTCAATATTAATTATAAGAATCTAATGACCAATGGTATGGATCCATAAATTAGTGGAACACTTATTACGTTTGTACATTTATAATTTTAAATGTTTTATAATTGAATGATTTTAGTTGAGCCCTCATTATGTGATGATTCATGCCTTTGTGATTTATGCTGGAAAGACCTGGAAAAAACTTATAAATCCATTAAATCTAATAATAGAAAAAAAGAAACATATTCAGAAAAAAAGTCTAGATTGTTAGAACGCTATGCGAAAAAAAATGTTTCAAAAAATCGAAATCAAGCTAGGAGATGTTCAATACATTTATGCTCTCGATCTTATTGTCAGAAAATGACTGTAAATGAGTATGAAAATATAAAAAAATTATTTTTAACTGTTGAATCTTGTCATGTAAGTTAATAATATTAATTTTTTGTACATTAAATTATAAAAGACTAATAAAAGACTATCAATTTTTATTTTAGTTAGTTTTCGTTCAATCTACAAAACAAACTAAAGACTTTTTGAAATTTCCCTTACGTCTTTGTAAAATTCATAGAGATATGGTAAATATACTAAAAATGTATTACTAACTACTTATTAAATATTGGTCTTGAACATAGTTAAGTATAATTGTTATTTCTTTAGATCTTGGTGATGTCAACATGTCAAATCTGCGGTGACAAACTAAATCCACCATTTAACACTGATGACTGGTCAATGTACGAAATATGGAATTTTGTATTGATTGAAAACCATCTTCCTTTAATATTGAAACCACCTATGTTTATATGTGTGACTTGTAAAGGATACATTTCTAAAACAAATCCAGGTTTCCCAACTACTGATTTGCCATGTTTACAAGAATATATCCTTAAAAGGTAAGATTTAATTTATAGAAATGAATTCATTTTTATTATTATATTAAACTTAATTAAATTTCAGCAACTCAATTCGTTTAAAATTATATGGAGAATTACAGTATGACTTGTTGAATATATGTCAAGGATCAACAAATTTGGGATCTCCCATTGTTTTTCCCATTACCGAAAATAAAAAAAATTGTGTACGTTTGACGAAAGTTAAGTTTTCTGATCCTTTAATAACTATAATTAATAATTATGAAATTGGCTGTTATAAAAATGATGCAAAATCAATAACTAGCACTTCAATATTATTAAATAAAGCTGAACCAAATCTGTGTACACCTAAATTAGAAATAAAAGATGAAGGACTTTATAAAGTAGAACCTGAAGACGAATATTCTAAGACATATTATGATAATTCACTCCAAAATTTATGTCAAGTTGACAATGTAGAAAAAGTTGAAAACGAGTTAGAAGTAATGATTATTAGTTCCTGTCAAGCTGTGAGTGAACACAATGAAATAGAAAATAATCAAAGCAAGCTAAATTCTCATGCTATATGTAGTGTTGCGCAAAATAGAAGTAGCATATATTATCTAAAGGAATGTAATCAAAATCAAAGTATATACGAAATAAATACAATTCCTAAAACGGTTTATTTGGACGATACTAACAATAGTATGAATTCATTTATTGTAGCAGTGGAACCACCTGATGCAATACTTAATTCTGTTGCAATAAAAAGAAAACAAAGCAATGTTATATGCGATACAATTTCTAATAAACATGTGAACAAACAAAGAAAAAATGAAAAATACAGTTTCAATGAAAAAAAATTCACAGATGACAATACTACCATATTCTACAAAAATAAAAATATTGCTCATTCAAGTATAAATCTACAAAGTACTTTGAAAATGACTTACAATTATAAAAATAAATATGACTATAATTCTGATATATCAGATTCTAAAATGTTTTCTGAAACTAACAGTGAAGAAATTATACCAGATTGTGGAAAAGAAAAAACAGATTATATAATAGGGGCCTCATATGATGATTTGAGTTTAGATTATCACTGTGAATTAATTAAGTCTAAATTTGAAACAAAACCAGCTTATGAAATAGAAATGGATAAAAATGATACAAAATTAATAACTAGCACTTCATTATTATTAAATAAAGCTGAACCAAATCTGTGTACACCTAAATTAGAAATAAAAGATGAAGGACTTTATATTGTAGAACCTGAAGAAGAATATTTTAAGACATATGATAATTAACTCCAAAATTTATGTCAAGTTGACAATGTAGAAATTGTGGAAGACGAGCAAACAATGTTTCAAACGATTATCATCTGATGATATCAAAATACTTATAATTAAAGATATAAAGACTACTTCTAGTTCACCAAACCAGAGTAATTCATTTGATTCACCAAAAACAAATGTTGTAAATATTCCTTACTTGCCAGATGATAATCAAACATTTACACGTATGACTCTACAATATCCAACTAAATATGATATGTAATTCCCAATTGGTTGTGTAACGGCCAAATAGACTCTACCTATTAATATGATAATATGCTAACTAAATGTAAAATGTATTACAAAATTGTAATGTAAAATTAACTATTAAAACAATTATTGTAAAAGATTCTTAATCTTTAAGATTAATAATCTCTCTTTTTTGTTGGGAGTTGTAACGGACAAAAAAACAGTAACGCCGTGTCATAGCTGATTTGAGGGGAAAAACAAAATAGTTTGTATTATAGCGGGTAACACATTACATGCAGAACCATTGCATGATCAAAATATAAATTACACGCACTCACACGCACTAGCTAGGACATTACATTAGTATAAGTTAGTTCAAATGACATTGTAAAAATTTCTTTTGGATAACAATTATTTTACTTGTATATAATTACTAACTGTTTATACATAACTTTTTCAATTATTAAATACCTACAAAATAAGATAAATAAATAGATTTAAATTCAAACGTTAATATATTAATAACAACAATTGTATATATGATTTGTGTAGTTTTTAATTTTGATTCTTTTTTGTTGTCTATTATACATTTTTTTTTTTTTTAATTGTGAAATGCAGACAAAGGTGTTCCCATGAACTCGTTGGTAGTTTCTGTGAGGATAAATATTCCAAATTCTTAAAAGGGATATTGCAAATTAATTATAACACAGAATGATTTTTTAAATTATTATTTTTATTTTACACAATCATGCATGTTTTGTTTTGAACACAATATTTTAGGTACTCAATGCAAAAACTACATTCAATATTATAGCATTGCGGTTAATAATCATATTTTGAAATATAAGTTTTAAAAATTAAAACTAAAATTGACAGAAAAAAAAAATTTATATTTATTTTGTAAAAAATTTCGGACAACTGTCAAATTTTAATATTTTTTCAAATAAGGAGGCCATTGCTTGATTTTTATTTCCATTGAATCTTTTTAATTCTTGAATAACCTAAAAAAAAAAAATATATTTGTAGTATAATATTTGAATTATATTTAATATACAACCTATGTATGTATATTTTATAATATTATGTGTCAATTTTTTGACAAGTACAGGGATAGGCTTATAAGAAGGGACCGAAATTATATTCTTTTGCATATTTTTTTTGAGGCTATGCTGTCAGACGGGGGTTCGAAATCTTTACAAATCATGAAACCGGTTAATTAATGGCAAAAGTTTTTTTAGCATATTTGAGAATATTTCAAGATAAAAGAATATTTCGTACAATAAAGAATATTTGAGAATATATCGATTAATTTTTATAGACATTCGATATTTTTTGTTGCAGTGGCGTAAATAATATAAATTATGTGTCCGATAATAGTGATATGATATTGATACATTAGATAGGTACATATTATAACCATCGTATAGTATGCCTTAATTATTAGTAATGTACTGTAATATTCTGTAATAGATAAGTGACTTATCTAAGATAACGATGTCCGACAAAAAATGGAATTATTACTACACTTTAAAAATATTTAGCTCCAGGCGTTCGATTATTACTACATGTGCAGTGTCGCACCGTCAGACACCTTTCTACACCGAAGAATTAAGTAGTAAAAATCTCCCAGTCAGTCAGTACTTAAATGTAAAATAGTTTTTGACATAGAAACCATAGAAAACGACCTAATATTTATTAAGGCCCATTTTTTTGTTCTCGTAACATACATCAAAAGTTAGGAAAAATCTAATGTGTCTCTTGTTGATTCGATAAATCTAATTGAAAATACAATTGGTCAACTTCAAAAAATACCCGGAGGAAATGGAAATAAAATAAAAATAAAAATTGATCAACTACAACAAAAAAATAAAGGGCTCATCATTTTGAAAACGTAGCTAAAGTTTTGAATGGAAATAATGAAGTTCAACTTATAGACAATTTTTCACTGTCTATGATTACTGATTTTCAAAATGCTCCCGTGACTTCAGTTGACATCGTACGTTAATTTAGCACTTATAAAAATATATTAACAAACCGTAATATGTCATACCAAATATGACACCAAAACACATGGAGCAAAATATAGTTGTTAACTGTTTTCAAAAATTTTCGTAATTAAAAATACCTTATTGTTATTAATATAATTTAATCAATTATTTTTTAACATGTATTATTTTAAGTAATTTTAAGTAAACCTACTTAATCATATCAGTTTTTTTGTATTATTTTGCATATAAATGAATATTTTTATTTCAAGAGAATATATTCATAATAAAGCATATTTTTCGCATATTTTATTATGATTTTTAAAGAATATTGGAAGAATATTTTCAACTTTTTTAGAGAATATTATCATCTTATTTTGGCTATTTTAAAAGAATGTAATTCCGGCCCCTACTTATAAGTTATAGGTGTATATGAGGTTGGGATATCTCTGAAGTTTATCCGACTTCTCAAAAATTATTAAACTTTCAAATGTTTAAAAATATAAACCGAAAATGTCAATATTTTTAACCTGGTGGCACTGTTGTGCGCCTGCCCACAATTTCAATATCCTATCAATAACCATTTATCAAATTTACTCATCGTACTAATTTATTGTATTCTAAATTGTAAATAATTTTTTAAGGAAATAAAATAAAAATGAATAAATATTTTTAAACATATTTTAGTGAAACAATTCTTCAAACAAATTTACCTAATTGTACCCACTTATAATTTATGAGTTTATTTTGAACTGTGACATCCATTAATTACTTTATGACAAATGTATCAATGTGGTTACATTTATTAGACTGTATACAAATCTTTGAATTGTTGTGGACATTTAGAAGGGCCAACCAGTGTCAACTACTGACATACACAAATAAACAGAATACAATTATTGAATTATTTATTATTTTTGTAAGGTGTATTATATAACTGATTTTGTGATATCAACTTATAAATAAACAGTTATTAATTTAAAAAAAAAAACCATTTATACATAAGGGATCCTTGTATTACATTTCAAGCTTCATGTCCAAGAAAAATGTTGACCAAAATATATACTGTAAATCCATATTCTTTTTAATATATATTATATATATATTATATTTATTAGACTGTATATATAATGTATTATAATAAATCATAATCAATATAAAACATATAGAGATCTCTTAACATTGTTCAGAATGTTCTTGTTCTTCTCATCATATTAAACATTATTGTTTAAGTAAATGATTTCAATAGTAATTATTGACCATATTAAATAACCATGTCATTCACGGTAGAGACGTGGAGTAGTTAAATATTTGATATATTGTTATATATTATTATTAAAAATATATATATTTTGCATTAATTTGCCATTCTTGTTTAAAAACTATAAGCATTTGCTTTGCTTGACGCAACTATGGGAAATTGGATATTATAAATATTAGTAATTAACGGGCATTATTACAAACTAATCTTCTAACTCATATAATATAAACTATAAACTCAATATGAATAAATAATAATACATCAATTATCATATTACTCAGTAAAATGTTGTACTTAACAAGTACGTATTCACCTCCATTGCTAATGATATCACCGCATAATAAGCATAAATTCATAAGACATTTTATAATTTTCAGTTGTTTAATATTTTGTAAAGTGTATTTATATTTTTTTGTCAAGTTTTATATTTGACGATCGCGGATAATTCTAATTACAGACCATATTATATAAGAACATATTATTCATGTTATATCATGTAACTCGATACCTTTTTAAAAAACTTGGTGAATGATAATATATGTGACTTTGAATTTGAAACAAGTCACAAACACTTTCATTAGTAATAATAAAATTAAAATAAAACTTGAGTAAAAATAATTATTTTGTTATTTATTGGGTCTTATAATAATTATAGGCAATGAATTCTCTGAGATCAAAGCTCCATCGGGTTAATTTTTAATAAAATGTGTGGAGAGGCTTCAGTTCAACCTCCCACCGAAAAAAAAAAAAATATTTTGATTTAATGATTTTTTTCTCAATCGATACCTAACTGTTATTATCATGTAAGTAAAAAAAAAGTAGAAGCCAAAAATTTTTACTGCTTATTAAATATTATTATTTTTGTACAAAATTAAATTTTTCATTATAGTTTTTCATAATAAAATATATTATGTTGATAAAAATGGTTTTTCTTTTTACTCGGCCAAACATTTTAAAAGTATACTACAGGATAGTTTTTTTTATAAATTTTAAAGTATTTATAAATATCAAAAGTTGTGGTGCAAACACACAGTTGTTTACATAATGGAATAGATTTTTTTTTAATTTTAAAATTATATATAGTTACAAGTTGATTTTTTGAATTCAAATGTAATATACTACATTATGCCTAGACCAGATACTATAAGACTATATTATGCCAAAATAATATATAATTGTATTCTGTTAATTTTTGTAGGTAAGTTGTTGACAATGATCAATATACCTCATCTTACCAACAAGCATCTAGGCATAGCTATTATTTTATATTTTTATCCATATTTAATTATAATTTACCTCCTCTCTAGAAAATTCCAAGTTAATTAGTTCTGTATTATTAGTTTATTTAGATGATTGACTAGAATTACTGTTATTACCTAAAATACGACCAAAAAAGATAAACTATAAAAAATTTGATTGTATAGAATAGCTCTCATGGATAATAAAATTAAATATTTAACCCAATACATATTTACAATGTAGGTAGGAATCACTATTATAACTACTAAGTACTAACATATACATATGGGAAAGAAAAG